ACAAAAATACTTTTTTGAACAAAAATACTTTTTGCACAATACAAACACACACACACACACACACACACACACAGGCAATTGCTTTTTTACTTTTTCATTCATTTTCAAAAATTTAACATGTACTTCAAAATATGTCTAAAAGGACAAAAATATTAATTTCAATTATTATTGCAGTTTTCTTCCCTTATCAAATAATACAAAAGCTGCCCAAGAGGCTTTGGATAGTGAGATGGGCAGATAGATTGATAAATAGATAGATTCAGTCATAACCTTGAAAGTATTTATTAGTGGCTTGTTCAATAATACCTTATTTACCTAATATCTAAAAATGCCCTCATTCACATATGTTTATAGTATTGTTTAGTTACTTGGTTTTAATACATTGTTCCACAATATTTACAAAATAGACTGATATTATGGTTTTGCTAAGACCCTGTTCCTTATCCTGGCATACTGAGATGTGTTGGGACTACCAGAATTCCCAGCCAGCCTGTGGCAACTCTCTACAGGGGCATATAATTAAAAAAAAGAAAAGTTATATAACTGCAGTAGGGGTGCATGATCTGTCGATTATTAAGTTCATGAGGCCTCCAAACCATTTTTATGGTAGCTGAGTTCCTAAAGTATTACAATACCCCCAACCCCGCTAAAAAAAAAAAAACCAAACCCTGCGGCAAAAGATAAGTGTACACAACAAACAGAAACCTAATCAGGCATTTATATGATATTACTGTTTTTGAATGTTCAAATTTTGATCCTTGTTTGTATAAAAAAAATGATAAAGTTGCTTGGGTAATACAGGTAGTCCTCAATTTACGACTAGAATTGAGCCAAAATTTCCAATGCTAAGCAAGGTAATTGTTAAGTTTTGCCTCATTTAACTACTTTTCGCCAGTTTTTAAGTGAATCACTGCAGTTGTTAAATGAATCATGTGATCGATAAGTGAATCTGGTTTCTCCCATTGACTTTGATTGTCAGAAGCTGGCTGTGAAGGTTACAAATGGTGATCACATGACCCTGGGACAGGGCAACTGTCTTAAATACACCAATGCCAAGCGCCCAAATTTGGAACATGTGTCCATGCGACTATGTTGATGATACAATGGTCATAAGTGTGAAAACCTGTCATAAATCACATTTTCCAGTGCCACTGTAACTTTGAATAAGTTGAGGACTATCTGTAGTAGATGATTTCCAATCACAGCAACTGAATAATGTCACACAAGCATTAGCAACACAAGTTCATTATATGGTCTAGCAGCTCAAATGCTTTATTTATAATGAGAATTTAAAATAATGTTTACCTAAATGCTGGTACAGAACATGGTAATTTTTAATAGAAAAATTCTAAATAACAGTTCTGCTCAGAATGAACATATAAAATGGCCTAAGTATAGGTGGGACTGTAGATTACATTGTTAACTCTTCCCAGATAGACAGATCATATAACCTATTTTTAAATGTCTACTGGGCATACTGGGGCACAGTACATTTATCAACATTGAAAGCTACCTTACATGAATCAGTTCCTTAGGTCATATCCATTATTTCACAGATAACACAATATAATCTATACTGGAAAGTAGTGGTCTCCAGGATCATATGGAATTTATTTCCAGTCACATACAGAGATGCCACAGATCAAACCAGGCTTAATGTATCAGGAATTTAGAATTGAAACTGTAAGCATACATTGTGGTGGGAAAGGAAGATTCTATTGAAAAATTTCTAAAAGCTGTGCCTGAATTCAATAGGAATTCTTCCTCCTCCTCTCTTTCTCTCATATTTTACTTTAGGTTATCATCATAAAGTATGCTAATTGGGAGTCACATTTCACTCAAGTTTGGTGGGTATTATTTTTCTTTACAATTCACATAACTAAAACTCAGCTATAACAACTTAATATTAAAAGTATTTTAGAAGTATAGTTAATTTAGCATGGAAAACAGCAGATATGAAGATTCTAAACACAGAACTATAACTATTGCTAATCAAGTGTTTATGAACTTTGGAAATAATTCTATATATATTTTGAAGTTTGATTTAAAACTACTCAATGACATGACTGTAGTCTTTATTAGTCTTTTTTAAAATACCACTAAAATATGATTATATTCTCCAAGTTTTAAGAGTCTATACACAGAGGTGCTGCTGTCTATAACAGACAAAATACTTTTGTGCCTACTCAAATGTAACTTCTACTAAATTAAATATCATTTATCTCAGGTATGTGAGTATAGAATGGCAGCATGATGCACATGGAAAAATATTTAGTACACTCTGATTCTATATCTAATAATAGGAAAAGCTACTGCTTACCTTTTCTTGTCTAATCTTACTCAACTGCTCTTGATTTTTGAATATCCATATGCAACTTTACCTCTGTCAACTTGAACCTATTCATTACACAATAAGGTAATTCATTACACTAAATATACTATAAAAAGCATTGTTACTAATATCACTATAATAAAAGTAATTATAATCCTTAACATACTACTATAGTTCAAGGGACTTAAGAGACCCTAATGTAAATGGAAAAATATCTGTGCACAAGACTGTATATTAAATCCATACTAAAATAAAGAATATGGGAAAGCTTCAGTCAAAAGTTGATTTAATTAATAGCAGAAACTTAGTGGCAAGCCTGGCTTTATTCTAAACTTCATTGTATGTGTGTATGTATTAAATGAAACATTTTAGCAGACAGTACTACTTTGTGCAATATCTAGAGTTTGTCTTTTCTGCAAGTAACTATATTTAAAATAAACTGCAACATATATACACTAGAACTGCAATTATCCCAAGCTAATGTTTTTACACAAAGTTTGTGATTTTCATGCAGCTTTGCATCTGAGTATTTTTATGGTTGTTTGGTAATAATACCAAGTTCTTTCTTGGTAGTCACAGAACACTTTTCCTATACAATGCAAATCCCGTATTTCTTAACACCAAAATCCGAATTCTTTCAATATACTTCTTCATTTGAAGAAGACACTTGAAATTGCTCAAGAGGTGCAGTAAACTGCAATTTAGCAACATCTAAAATCCAGAGACTCCCTCTGTCTGGAACAGGTAATGCAGTTTTAGATTAGTGTTTTAAATTTACAATTCAGAGTGTCAGATTAACAGAGTTGGAAAGGACCTTGAGGGTCATCTAGTCCAACCCCCCTCCAAGCAGGAGACTCTGCATATCTTATAATAATATATAGTGTGGACAGCATTTTGAATCAAAACTTTTGTTTGTTAATTGTAAACAAACATTACAATAAAACACCTTCAGAGTTTAATATCCACACAGTAGCAATGCAGTGCAGTCCATCATTTAAATTTTAATAAGGTGTTTGGGAACAATCTCAATGAATGCTCAAATGTACAAGGGTGAAAATAACGCAGTGTAGTGAATTACAATTGCAAAATGGAAGTTTGATATATACCTATAGGGTAAGTGTCTTTATACATTTTAGACTATAGAATTTATAACTCCATATAAGCAGAAAAGCGACAACGTCTTTGGGAAAAGGAGAAAAAGGGCTGGCATCGCATGAGAAAGAAGAGAAAGGTAGCATAGGTCTTAAGGACAGAACAGCTTTCCAACAAAAAGAAGCCCCACAGCATTAATCTGGTTTTAAAACTCGACTCTCTTGGAGGCTCCACTGGGCTCTACTTTTCAATTTTCCTGAAGCGAAGAATTAGGCCTTTCTCCAGAACAATAAATGCCGCCACAGGACGCTTTCCCTGGATTTGAACCCGACGTACGGCTCCGGCTCCGGCCAAACCAGGCGAGCTACCAACAACTGACTCAGATACGGAGATCAGGCTCCCGTCACGCGACCTGCGCTTTCTACAGATGACAGTTGGAACATCACAAAAGAGAAGCGGCACGAGAACGAAGCCTGCCCTCCATTATCCCCCTCATTTATCAGCCGCCGCCACCACCACCCCGGAAAAAGGCGGGCGCCCCGTTGAAGTGCAGCGCCGCTGATTGGTCGGACAGAAGTTGAAGTCGGGCGCGCGAGGGGGCTAACGGACATTTCTCCCTCCCTCCCTCCCGATGGACCTCACCGCGTTCTTCTTCTGCACCATCTTGTCCATCTTCTTAGCAATGCGGATGATTTCATCTTCGGTGTTCATGGCGGCTGCCGGGTCCGCGGCGGCGCCTCTCTCTCTCTCTGTCTCTCTCTAATGGGCGACTGAAGAGAAGCGAGCGAGCGAGCTTCAATCTTCGATGCTCCTTCTACGCCACGAATGCCGAGGCTTTCAACGCAATAGCAAAGATGGAACCGCAAAAACACTGTCGGGGTCGCTGAGAACATCAACCGGCCAGGAGCGACAGCTCGGCAGCCGTGGCGCCAGGCCGTGCTAATCAAACCTCGGTAAAGAGAGCCAGGAAATGCTCCGGAAAACCGAAAACATCGATTAAGGATTTAAAAAAAATAGGGGGTGGAGCTTCATCTCTTCAGCGTTCCGAGCGTTCAGCGGAAATGGAGGATCAAGCCCTGCGTGGGGGTGGGAAGAAGAGGTTGCCGTTGACCGAAAATGGCACGGAGGTGTAGAATCTGTGTAACTTTGTAACCTCAGGACTTTGGGCTGTAAGTTGTTTTGTCTTGGCAAATGGAAACAAAAGAAGAAGCAGTGGTTGCGATCCCGGGGAGGTAACATACTTCAGATTCAACCACAACATACGAGCACACAATAGATACAAACTTATGGTAAACCTAAGGTGACCAGATTTTCAGATTGGTAAAGAGGGGGGGTGTTGATTAAAATTTTTATACGGAGCAACAAAAATTTTCATACAACGCAAAAATAGTATTGTAATATTTTTTNGGCAGCTGATTTTTTGCTGCCCCCACCAGTAGGCTCCTCCCAGGAAGTCACCACATCCCTTTTTTGACCATAATTAGCCAAGATTAATAGCATGGATTTCTGCTCCTTTGAGGTAGGAAATCTACAAAAACTAGTGTGAGCCCTAAAATAGCTTCAGAATTCAAAAAGTAGAAAGTCTTGGCTCTGCTTAAGTAGTTATCCGTCTGCTTGTTGTCACCCTCAGCCTCCTCAAAATAATAGAGATTTCCTCCAGCCATTGTTTTACACCGCTGTCCTGCATTAGAGAAAAAGGGGTTGCTTCATGTTTATCTTCTGATGTTTTTCTTAGTTATTCTAAACAACCAATATCTATTATGGTATGTGTTGCTTTAAACAATGAGCACAAAATGAATGAATGCTACAAAGCCAAACACTTCACTACTTTCAGATGGAACTTCCTGTCTTATTCAGAAATGCAAGATAGAATCCAGACACCTGTTCTTCTTCTGGAGCATGGTAAATGTTGGCAGATCCATTTCCAGGTGCTGTTAAGAACTAGCCATTGGGAGAAGGAAACATAACAAACTACAGAAGAAGGTAGAATGAGATAGATCCGGTCAGCTGCTCTAAAGGGAATGCCTTTCCAAGGCGAGCCCATCCATAGCTCATAAGGTAGATATGCAGCCTACTAGGACTGCCAAGAGAAAGCTTGCCAATTCAGCCTATTCCAAGCAAGGTCCTGAGCTTGTGTACACAAACAAATACAAGGCTCAGAATCTGAAAGCAAAGCAAACAAGGAAAGAACTCAACATCCCCATATGCAACTCATTAAGGATCAGCAAGGAAGAGATGAACGGAACATTGAGGCTCAATCGTTGTGGTCCATTTCGGCTGCCAAGTCACGGTCTCTGGGCAAGGTATAAACTAAACTCCACAGTGCTGCTGCTGTGCTTCTTTTAATTTTTATTTTACTTAAAAGGCATCTTTTTGCACATTTTAGATGGTGTGAAAAAGATAAAATGTCTGCTACAGAAGCGGGAAAATTTCAGGAATCTCACAGTCAGCCACACCAGGGAGGGCTAATTTAATATAAAATAGTTTGCATGACTCTGGCCGAAGAAGCATATTTGTGTGGAAAGTCATTGTGATCTGTATATGAAAAATCATGGGTGGGTATGCCTAAACCTGGACCACTCAATGAAGGTACGGTACCTCTTTAGCTTAGAAGATCCTTGTGTATATTTGCCATGAGCCTGGTGTAGGTATCTTTCTTCTCCATCTCCATGTAAATTCATTGTACCTATGCCCAATATTTTTATTTCATACTAGTCCTCTGTAGCATCCAGTTACCAGTATGCCTAATGGGACCTTGATACCTTGCATCACTGCTCCCCTCTGTAGCCCTCGATCTTTCCCAGAAACAATTAAATGTGACCTTTGGAAATTAAAAGGTTCTCAGCCCATTCTCTTAGAGGCCCTGGGCAAATCAAAAAGGTCAACTGCACTTTGGTTCTTCAAATCCTGAATTGGAAATTGTCGTTATTTCATCTGGTAAAACTAGAAGAGTAAGTAAAGGAAGAATGGGCAGCCAAGAGAAACAAGTGGGAAGTGAGATAGCATAGAAGGAGTCCAGTAGAAGGATAACAGAAAGAATCAAGGCCCTGGGAGGAAACAATAAGGAGAAAGTAAGAGGGAGCACATGAGGATGGGGCCCTAGTAAACAAAAAGAAGAAGCCGAGCATCCACAAAAGGTAGAAGATGTAAGGAGGCAAAGGGCAACTTGCCTGAGAGGTCTCAGACCTAGTAGTAGCATTGTCCACCACATCTGAATGATTCCCTGCATTTGATGTTGGTTTTTCATCCACCCCACCATTTTTTTCTCAATATCTCAGCTTGCCAGATGGAGAGGAAGCTGGCTGTACAGCAATGGAATTTATGCAGAATGCTGATTCACTGACTTGTTCCTCAGCCAAGAAGAGATCTCCAGCTCTTTCTAACATTCCAAGCAGAGACAGCAAGAACACTGACAGACATCTTTTAACTGTTGTAAATGGTGACCAGTGTGTAAATGTATTCTCAAGCAGTAATCATCAGGATACCTAGTTTTCCCTTAGTTGGGAAGAAACTGCAAAAGGCCTTGTGTTCAGCATACACATTTTTGTGTTCATTATTGTGAGTATAGGACTTTAGCTTGTTGTAAATACTGGAGAATGCTGAAATGGTTTACCCAAAGTTCTGTATATCAAAATGGATAGGGGCAGGACTCTTGTCATTAGAATTCTTGCTTAATAATGTGAAATTATTAAATGGAAATAAGGTCTCTGTGTGTAGGTGTATGTTGGGCTAGGCCAGGAAAAGGATTGTGCCTATGTTTTGTGCAGACATTAAACTGAACACTGATTATTCTAAGGGCTATCAGTAATAATATCATTATTTGACCAGGACAGAATCAGCTGATGAGCCTAGATAGCTACTTTTTTGTTTATTTTTGCTTTGTTTTCTGACCAGCTATTAAAAGAAAAAAATATAAATGATTTCCTCCAATATTTTAAATCTTAATATTAACTTGGAGAAAGATCTTTGGTAGTTGGTTCTGTCAGAAATAGAACAGAACAGAACAGAATAGAATAGAATAAAATTCTTTATTGGCCAAGTGTGATTGGACACACAAGGAATTTGTCTTTGGTGCATATGCTCTTAGTATAATAAAGAAAAATAAAATAAAATATATTCATCAAGAATCATAAGATACAACACTTAGTGATAGTCATAGGATACTAATAAACAATCAAATCATACCAGGAAACAATAAAACAATATAAATTGTAAAGATACAAGCAATATGATTATAGCAAAAAGAGGGAAGAGATAGGTGCTAGGAAGGAAGAGAAGAATAATAGTAATACAGTCTTAAATAATTTGAGTGTGTTGTGGGAATTAGCAGAGTGATGGTATTCAGGGAAAAACTGTCCCTATGTCCTGTTGTTCTAGTGTGCAGTGCTCTATAGCTAAGGTGACCAGATTTTCAGATTGGTAAAGAGGGACACCTTTGACCGGGGGCGGGGGGTGTTGATTAAAAATTTTATACGGAGCAACAAAAATTTTCATACAACGCAAAAATAGTATTGTATTTTTTTAAAAATTTCAACATAACTACAATTTACAAATATAAATTGTAACTGTTGCCAAACATCAAAATTTTGATCACGTGACCATGAGGATGCTGCAATGGTCGCTAAGTGTGAAAATGGTTGCTAAGTGTGAAAAATGGTCATCAGTCACTTTTTTCAATGCCATTGTAACTTTGGTCACTAAGCCCATTATACCACCTTTCTTGCCACAGTGAATAACTGCAGCTGGTATTTTGTATTTTGGATAGAATCTTTTTTTAAATAGCCTAAGACAATTTTAAAAAAGAATCCACACAGAATAAATTGAATAAAAGATTTCAAACTATTCTTTGTATGCACAATATATTTCAAAGTATTGTGCATAGAATTTTTAAACATGGTTTCACTTCAATTTATTTTGGATAGAATCTTTTTTTTAAATAGTCTAAGACAATTTAAAAAAAGAATCCACACAGAATTTTAAAAAATCCTATGCACAATAAATAAAATATTATTTTAAAATACATTAAAAAAATAAAAGAAAAAAACCCAGCTCACTTACCAGCAGGCGTGCACTCCAAGTAAACCCAGAATGACGTAGATGTTAATACAAAGAACTGAGCAAATTGAAATGGTGAAATTAGTCAGGGAAATATTTTTCAAAGAAACTTTGCCACCATTTTTCGGAGCAGACCTCCAAGCTCCGTGCCCCTCCCCTCCGGAAAATACAGGAAGTAACACTCTAGCCAAGTGTTTCCTGGAGCTGTATGGTACTTGGTCATTTTTTCTTATAAAATGAGGTAAAAGGGGTGTGGGGGGTCTGTTTTGTTGTTTTAACGTTTTAATATCTTCAATGAAAGTTCTGAGACAGAGAGAGGGATTAGATAGGGTGTCTTTTGTCTTGCCCCAGTTAGGATTTCTTAAGCAAATCCACTGGGCTTTCAACATGAAGCCAGAAAATCGGGACTTTTTTAAAATGGCCCGGGACATAGGACAAATTGTTATAAAGCGTAACTATCCCGCTGAAATCGGGACGTCTAGTCACCTTATCTATAGCGTCGTTTTGAGGGTAGAAATTGAATTTATGTCCAGGATATGAAGGGTCTGTAGATATTTTCACAGCCCTCTTTTTGACTCATACAGTATACATGTTTTCCATTGTGCAGTATATATGTTTTCCATCTGGATACATCTACCTACTCTGAGCCTAGTTCTAAAGAAAAGGGAGAGGGATGGCAGAACTTTTGGTCAACGTGAGCTGAACTTAACATTTTGGGGAAAAGGAAGAGTTACAGTGAATAGTGTCACATTGCAGTTAAGAATAAGTGCCAAATTTTCTGTTCTTTTTCTCCTGAATTTGATGGCAGGGGTTTTTAAATTTTGTTAAACTATGTTTAGGATATATAGTATGTAGCTTAATTATGTCTTCTACCTTGCCAGTTCCCAGTAACTCCTTCTCCAGTAACTAGGTTTTGAAGGTCTATATATGGCCCTGGAACCTCA